GAGCTGCGCAGTTTTTATTATTGAGGTCGATGCAACCTGGTTTACTTATGCCAACGTAACGCTAATCTTAACCATAGTCTGTTCTTAATTTTATTGCATTGTCTTATGTCTTTTGCACCTTTCACTAACTGCTGCCTCCAGCCCAGGTACAACCACACCCCGTGGTACTCAGCTAGTGAATGTAAACATTGAGAACTTATCTTTTACAGTATGTCAGCTAAATGTTGACAGCCTTCTCTCTGGACCTGAAACGCCGGGCTTCTGTGGTTGCAAACTCGCCAGCAGCTTTGTCTCCGCTGCAGCTGCTGATTTGGCTCCTTCCTTTTGCTCCGGTCTCACAAAGTTTAATATGAATTCATCATACGACATTTATTCATCCTTTGTAATGGATATGGGATGGATAATTCTTGAAGACAAAATGTAACCTCCCTAGCTCTAATGCTCCAAAAGTAACAAATGGGTGTGAGCTGTGGTGGTGATCGGCACTGTCTCAACAGCTTTTCAGTGCACCCATTACTCAGTGAGTCATTCGGTATGAAGGCTTTTCTGCATTGGACAGAATATGTTAAAGGTTACTTTTGCTCAGTGTCTCCTTTTTTTCCTCTGAATGTTTAAACAAGCACTTAGGGAAGTTCTCTTCTGGAGAGACATCTGCACAGTTAGAAATTCATCAGTTCTGCATATATTCTGGCAGGTGTAATGGCAGATTGAGACAGTGCATATGAGGAAACCTGTTACAAAATAAGCAGCTCAGTAATTGGCCTGTTGTCAAGCTGTGTTTGAGGAAACACTGCCTTCATATAACTGATGTGATGTGTTAGGCTTGTACTGAATGTTTTGTAATACTGTTTCAATTGTCTGTTAAATTCCACATTCTGTAATTGTTTACTGACTAAAATACAGCCCAGAAGATGAACAAGGAGCATCACTGTTGAGGTGCTGACAACTAGTTAACTCACATTCCCTCATTAATTAATGAAGCATCTTAAATTGGCTTTATCAGTGGTAATATATGTCTGAAAACATCTGAAATTTGACCCTTGTGCACTTTACAAGTACTTGTGCAGCAGTGCTTCTCCAATAAATATAAATTAGGATGACACCCAGGAACAAGAAATCACTTTATTCTGCCAGAAGACAAAACATTTTCAGCCATCCAGCCTTCATCCGTGTTACAGTCTCACAGTACAGCTTGCAAACAGGTGAAGCCCTTGAGTTAGTTGGCCTGCACCTGGTGGAGTAATCATTAATGAAGCAAGCTGAATTCTGAGGACATGGGTAAACCTGGCAGTTTGTAAAGCCCAATCACAGGCTCTCTAATTTAACTGCACTGATGTCATACATGTACAAAATACAATTAGTTTTAGTACAGGTCAATATCAAAAAATGTGGAATAAAGATATATTAGGGTTCAGGCGCAAGCCACAAACATTGGGCGTGTAGCCATTCATAAAGCGGCGGATATCTGAGCCCAACAGCAGAAGTGTTTCTCCACTCATGCACAACTGTACCTGTCAGTATATGACTTTGTAGTTATAATTCTTTAGGTGGGGCTAAGGCTGCCAGTGTGTCACAGATGGTCATACTGAAAATCCACCTTTGCATTTGCAAAGGGACTATAGTCATTGCTCTGCTTTGGTGGAGGGATACTGCTTCCAACTGTGGGCGTGATGATACCAAATTTTAATGGCATAAATATTGCAATGGTGATACTCGATCTTTACTGAGATGCTACAATTATTGCTAAGGTTTGGTAAAGTTATTTCTCAGCATATTGAGTTTGGGTTTCATTAAAGCTTCCAAAGCTGGCAGAGGTGAAGCCGACCTGGTATAGTACACCTAAGCACTGTAACTAGCTTGTCCCTTTGACTTTTTTGACCTTCAGGTCTGTGATTCCACTCATTAATCTGGACGCATCTCTCACTTATGGAACATTTCGTGCCACATAGGTTTTGCTCGTTTTGTTTAGCACCACATAATCAACTCCACTCTAATTGGCCTGGCTGCCATAAAACTGTATGGATGTTCATGTCCCACATACTGCTGGTTCCCCTGTGTTGCTGCTGCTGGCTGTTCTTTGTGGATCCCTAAGGAGTGTTCAGCTCTACTAAGTAATCCATTAAACAGCAGATGCTCATCAGGACCGCAGCTTCCCCATACTGCTCCTCCAGCCTCTGCATTCCATTTTATTATCTTTTCCTCCCTCTCGTCTCCCTCCCCTTCAACCCATCTGTCTGGATCTGTCTGGCATTTCATTATGCAGCACTCGCAGGCCTCACACAGACTGCTTGGTGCTGTAGCTAGTATTTAGATGCAGCATGTGAAGGAATCATCTCACACACAGGCACGACATAATCATGAGAGCAGTCTATTATTTGTGTCTATAGCTCTGCAGTAATTGGTGCACATGTGAAACCTGTAATGTTCAGTTTGTGGAACTGTTAGATGACTTGATTGTCTTACCCATTTCAAAAAAAGAAATGGCCTTGCACAGAGAATGGTACGTGTGTGTGTGTGTGTGTGTGTGTGTGTGTGTGTGTGTGTGTGTGTGTGTGTGAGAGAGAGAGAGAGAGAGCAGATAACCAACAATGGAGCTGAAATTTTCTTTAGCAGAATCACTGTCATCATCTTTGACTACACAGTCTTTTCTACACCAACAAGAATGGCAGGTTATATCCTAAAGACAGTTGTCCCCAGTAGCACTGCAGCTATGAATATTCATTTGATGAGGATGTGACATCAGAGCTCTGCTTATGGAATGAAGCTGTGAAGTGCTGGCAAGCTGTCGCTGCGACCCATTCATCCTCCAGGCTCCAGCTGTCACACAGCAACCATTCACAAAACAGGACATTGCCAGTGATTGTTTCTGTACAGGCCTGGCTCATCTCAGACAGTCCTAGTATTTTATCAGAAGTGTCTGTTCACCGTTAACAAAAGCTCAGTGACTTTTTTTTACTAGGGTGAACTTGGGACATACAGTATGAACTGTTAAGTCGTGTATTATCACTCCCATAGACTTGTTTTTAATCAAAGAACCAGACATTTTCTCACTGATGATTCACCTCCTGTAATGCCCACCCAAGCCTCTGATGTGCTCCAGCTGTCAGCCGGTTATGTGAAAATGAATGGGACTTTTCCCTAAATTCAGAAAACTCCTTTTACTTCAAGACCCTGTATTTTTGTAGTGGCTTAGACTAATAAGGTGGTGAGAAATGGGCAAGGGACTCGATTGTTTTTCTTTTGATTTATTAAGCAAAGTGTACAGTGAATGACGAAGAATAAAAGGATACTCAGTCTTTAGAGGCACAGCAAACAGGCAATGGGGCAACAGGGTGTGGAGACTGGATCCACCCTAGATACAGAACTTCAAGATTTCACTTTGAGTTTGACCTTTTATTTCTTAATGTATCACGAGTGTTGTCACCCCAATCTGTTGCTGTACAAAAGCAACATACAATAAGAAACAGGAACTAAGAATGCTGATTTAGAGGATGCCGAAGATAGAGTTAGGTGGAAACAGATGATTCACTGTGGTGACCCCTAACGGGAGCAGCCGAAAGAAAAACTTAGAATGCTGATTTACTGCTTTAGCTGAACAAAGTAATGCTGATTTAAAAAAAGAAGAGGAATTCAGCCTTTGTCCTTACAAAGAAACACACTTTTATTAATGTTTATTCTCTTTCTTCTCCTCCCTCCCCCTTTCCTTTCTCTGTTTCTTTCCTGCAGAGATTTGAATTAGAAGATTTTCAGATCTGTTTTCCAAGTGAGACTTTTTCAGCTTCCAAAAGTTGTAGTCTAATAATTCTGATTAATTCATTCTTTCTCCAAAGTGAGAAGCCTTTTCTTTGGATCTTTGTTGGAGTAGCCTATTCCTTTAATTGAATACGTTCTCAAAATTCAAATATTATTTCTCACCGGTATTTGATGCAGCAGACATTCAGAGTTCTCATGAAATGCTCTGTGCACCCCACAGAGTTGTGGGCTTTTGAGTGCACTGTACCCCAAACCACCTGGGTCTAGTGGTGCACTGGCTGAAAATAAAAAGCTCTAAGAAAATAAATGTTGAAATGGAGCCTGGCAGTCAAGAGCTGTAAATGAACTGAGAGGACAGATCCTGAAGTACAAGGATGTAGAGCCAGACATCTGAATGAGGCGCCTGAGAAGAGAGCTCCCTGGATGGCTGATGAGCTAGCACCAAAAACCTGAGCAACAGGGAGGGGAAGAGTGAGAGAAAGGCAAACACCTTAGAAACCTGAGGGGACAAACAAACAGAGGGTTAGAGAGATGCAGTGCTTTTCAACAGGTCTGCAATAATTCCAAAGGCAGGACAATATGGACTATACTACAGGGTTAATAGATTAAATGAGACCGAAGACCCACCATCAGGAGAATGGTAGCAAGTACAAGGCAAGAAGTAATAAGTACTATGTCACTAGCTAGAAGTTATGTGGAATGTTAAGTTTAGGTTTAAATGCATCCGCTGAGTCAGAGTGTCTGATGTCAGCAGGGAGGTTATTCCAGAGGGAGGCGGCTTGATAAGAAAAAGGCCAGCAGACTTTTTTTTTTTGGACAGACAGGAGCCCTGTGTTCTGTGAGCAGAGAGCATGAGATGGAATAAGTGATGAAGCACATGAGATTTCACTGGACTAACACAAGCATAGTTTTTCTGACTGAAAAATGAGTAGATAATGATTGATGAACCCCTAAAAGGTTTGACAGTGATGCTCTGTTTACAGGAAAGGTTGTACACTGTATAGTGATTTATCTTTTGTAGTTTTTAAAAACATTACCATATGAGTTCTGCATTCTTCTGGCCCTATGGTGATTGTATTGCAGGTAGAATGTTTGACCTTCTTATTGTTAGGGATCCCCATCTGACATCCTGTAAAATAATAGTGGTAACCCTAACATGTTATTTCTTCCCTGTTGTCCTTCCTTGCCCCCTTGCTCTTCTCCCATCTTCTCTCTTCCTCTCAATCCTCTCTGTCCTCATTCTCTAGGTGTCTTTTTCTGAGATGTTCAGGCTAAGTGGCCTGAGGGGTTTTGGCCCCGAAGCACAGACCACCAGGACAGACACTCCCACTTCTAAGAGGCTACACATGGACACGTCAACATGTAGAGACAGCTGCACAGCTGTCTGAAAGAGGGAAGTGATTAAACAGCTGACAGTTGAGGCTGAACTACAGGAACCGATATTCAGGACCCGACTGATCCTCAAGACAGAGATCAGCTGTGTTGGTGGTAGCTTTTTTTTTTTTTTTTTTTTTGCCAAATTCCATTTCTCCTTCCTCAATCCCCATACATTTGACATTCCATCTATCAAGTAGTCATCTGTCTTTTCTCCTTTTATTCAGTCATCAGTTGCACTGCACAGCTAAAAGTGTAGAACAGGTAATGGATGATGCTGGCCATGGTGACCTAGTGTAAATGGCTATTCTTCAGCACAGCTCAGTGCCAGTATCTACTGCTCGAACTTCCTCCTCCGCCCCCCCCTCCTCTCACCCCTATTCCACCTCTCTGCCCTCCTTCCCTGTTCCCTGCTCCTGCTTGCTGTCCAGTCCTTGCGCTCCCCTGCAACACCATGGTAGGTGCAGGATTGGGTGTGTGGAAGCTAATGCGAGGAGTCCGCCAGCTGGAGCTTCACCGCCTCATCCTGGCACTGATCATCTTCTGTTTGCTGTCCATGGCCTTCCTAGCATACTATGTCTCCAACAGCCCCAAAATCAAGGAGGCCCCCCCTTTACCCTTTAGTGACTGTGGTGGAGGAGGGGGCATGGCACTGGGAGTGAGTACTGGGACTGCTGGAGGAGGGCCAGGTGTCCAGAGGGCACCGCTTTTTCTTCCCCCCCGACAGGGCCGACTGCGACAGGTGAAGGCAATGGACAGTTCCAGGACTGAGCCTGTAGTTCTGGTGTTTGTAGAAAGCATCTACTCCCAGCTGGGCCAGGAGATTGTAGCCATATTAGAGTCTAGCCGCTTCCACTACCGGACAGAGATTGCTCCTGGTAAAGGTGATATGCCCACATTGACAGAGCGTAACCGTGGACGTTACACACTGATCATCTATGAAAATGTGTTGAAATACGTTAATCTGGATGCATGGAACCGTGACTTGCTGGATAAATACTGTGCTGAGTATGGAGTTGGTGTCATTGGCTTCTTCAAAGCTAATGAAAACTCTCTTCTCAGTGCACAACTCAAAGGTTTCCCCCTCTTTCTACACTCACACCTGGGACTCAGGGACTACCGTATCAACCCCAGTGCTCCTCTACTCTATGTCACCAAGCCCAACCAGGTGGAGCAGGGCTCTTTACCAGGGGATGACTGGACCATTTTCCAGTCCAACCATTCTACCTATGAGCCGGTGCTTCTGGCCAGCACCAAGTCATCTGAGGCACTGGCACATTTTGGGCCCAGCCCGCTACGGGCCCTACATGCTACAGTGATCCAGGACTTGGGGCTCTATGACGGCATTCAAAGAGTTCTTTTTGGGAACAATCTGAACTACTGGCTACACAAGCTGGTATTTGTAGATGCCATTGCCTACCTGACAGGGAAGAGACTGTGTTTGTTTTTGGACCGCCACATACTGGTGGACATTGATGATATATTTGTTGGCAAGGAGGGAACCCGTATGAAGGTGTCAGATGTGGAGGTGAGTGAGTCTTGTCAGCCAAAGTCACACTGCATAATTGTTGATTGTGAGATTCTGACACACGTTCAGCTTCATGTAAAGAAGTGTTCAGACTATATATCAAGGAAGTTTTTGTCTCCCATACTGAAAGAGAAGTTAAAGTATCAGTTTAGATGTTTGTGTAGTTTTTAGAATATGCACTGACTGTTGAGAAATTGTTGTAAACTACTGTGATACCGCCACTATAGCCTCTCATTGTTTCTCTTCATAGAGACCAGTGTCCAGTATTTCTCATTTTCAAATATTTTACCAAAGATTCAGACAAAATGGAGTCTTTTGAAAAGGATGAATGAAATGTAAAAGTTTAATATACAGCAGATCAACCTCATCCTCAGTGAGCCGTGGGCAGCCATGACCCTGTAGCTGGTTCACTTTTGGTAGGTAGTAACCACTGCAGACTGGGAACATCCAACAAGACCCTGCAGTCTGAGAGGTGCTATGACCCATTCGTCAGCCATCGCAGATCCTTACACTTACCCATTTTTCCTTCCTCCAACACTTCATCTTTGAGGACTGAATGTTCACTTGCTGCCTAACACACCCCACACACTGACAGGTGATACTGTAATGAGATAGTGAATGTTATTCACTTTATCTGTCAGTGGTCATCATGTTATGGCTGATTAGTGTATATTAATGTCACTCTAGTTGTCTTTTATATTCATTGCCAGTCATTTTTGCACTTGGTAAAGATCTGACAAATTGTCACCATATTGGGTATGAAGCCCAAAGATGTAGAATCCTGCCTCTTAACTGCTAACTGTGAAAGAGGTATGATTGAACTGTTTAGCCTGTCTTTGGCCTGGTTTTCCACAGCTGATAAAAACCGGAACTTTGTGTCCAACACTTTCCATGTCTTCTCCTTGAACAAATCATAGGGCTGTGGTTTGAAGGTCACATTGTGACTCAGACTGACTTAAGGAGTTTGGTGCAGTGCTCAGATTAAAGCCTAGTACTATTGATGGGGTTTTGTGTTCATCTGTCATGTTAAGAGTGCAATTCTTCCAGGCAGTCAGTCGACATTTGCCCTGTAAATGTGGGTGACTTGTTGTCCTGTGATAGACCTGACCAGGATGTACCCTGCCTTTCACCCATCACATGCTCATGTCAGTCTTTGTGAGAGTATGGGTAAGAATTTCAGGTTAGCACTGTGGTGAGGCCAAGGCTATTTTATAGGTTGGGTGTTGTCAAACACATTTCTGTAATGGTAATATAAAAGATGCTCTGCCTAATATTAGGTTTGAGGATTTTTTTTCATCCAGCATTCTTCCTGTTGCTGTAAGTGACTTTATTATTGTTGGACCGTTGAGGTTAAGCAACAGTGGTTCATCATTTTTCTTGAATGACTATAGGTAGAAACAATGTTGTCGTTGAGTTTGAACCTGGGTTGTGTTTTTCCTCCTTTCACAGGCATTGCTTAACACTCAAAACAAGCTGAGGACACTGGTCCCCAATTTCACCTTCAACTTGGGATTTTCTGGAAAGTTCTATCATACAGGTATGGAACATGTGATATTAATGGATCAACACAGCCCTCTGGTGCAAAGATTCTCTTAGAATAACAGCTCAGGAGCTTTGCCTTTGTACAGAATGCAGCACTTGTGTCATGAATGAGGGCCATTGTCTCTACATGCAACTTCTGGAAATCAAATCTGAGACTCAGAAGTAGACCACACCAGTCCTCCCACCCCTTGCTCTGCCCAGCCTGTATGCTGGAATCGCACAGTGTCCGTCCTGCTAGTCCGCTGTAGTGATATCTTAAAGCAGCTAATACTAGTTTGAAACATTGCATCAGACCAGTAGACCAGAAGCATATTCAAGTATTTATTAACAGATGTGAGCTCCTACCCCATTTACTCAGCAAAGGTCCGTCAAGAAATTAAAAGGAGAACAGTTTGGTTCAGGATGAGCCAGCTCTGTGTTGAATTGATGACCAGAGGTCACAGTACAGTGTATATTAGTTGGATTTCTGTCATGGATTCAAAGACACTTAAATTAAAATTGCTTGTCTGGTGCATGAGTCAAAAAAATGTAGCTAATTCTCACCAGTGTTTCACCTGCACGCCCCGCCCACCCATTCCCATTCTCCCCATAGACTTTGCATTGTGATCACAACACAAAAATAACCCTGGGAAAGTTGGGCGTTTCTTAAACCTTTATGAATTATCAAAACATTGTCAAGGATAGCCAAGAGTTGGACAGCAGTGATAGCTGGAGACAGTACTATAAGCTTACAGAAGGAAGCAAAGGTGATCATAAATTATACCAAGAAGAAAGCAGGCCCATGAACCAGACTTCAGCACAGCAGCAGCAATACTGCAGTTAAGGAAAGGAGGTGCTTTTCTGTGAATAAAGAAAGTTAGCAGACACATTCCTACAAAAGAGGAACTGCAGGCAAAGGTGTGTGTGGGTGTGTAGGAAGAGAGGGGGGAAAAGAGGAACCACTGAGTTTATTGAAAAGGAAATATAATGGCTTTGTGCATAAAGTAAAGATTTGATTGATCAGTGATAATCAATGTTTAGTAATTTTGTATTCAAAATACTATATAGTGATCTATGTTTTAAATTCAATGCATGAACAGTTTTTGTGTAACAGTGTGTAATTCTGGTGGTTTAGTTAGATGTGATGATGGGATTTTTTTTGGTATTTTGATCAGATGTGAGATTCTTGTAATTTTATTAGCCATTAGAATGATTTGTTTTTGAGAAAAGAGAAGTAGATGATGCTGAATCACAGTGGGGGGAAGCCAGTTACGGGCAGTGTACTGAACTCTGACGGTAAAAGATGCACCCTCATAGTCTAGTGGTTATGGTGTGGTGCACCATATGTGTAAGCATAGTATGTGTGTGAGATGTCAGCAGTTCAAGTCCGGTCACTAACATTTACCACCCTTCTCTCTATCTCCCTCATTTGCTGTCCACCGCTGTGTCCAAAACATAAATGAAAAAAAAGAAAAATATACATGTAATATTTGTAACATCTCAGAAAAGAACCACAATTATTCAGCAATACATGAAATGAAATGACCATTCTGAGCTGGGGGTGAGACAGTTTAGCTGTTCAAACAGAACATTTAAGTAGAAGACGCGTCTTAATGGTTTTATTAGTCTTTAGGTTCGATGAGAAACAAACTGATGCAATAAACAGTTTTCAACCTCTTTTGAAACAGTCCTTGGCTTTTTTCCAGTAAATCTGCATTTACAGTGGTGTACACACAGTTTACAATGTAAGAGTAAGAGAAGGTAATAATTCATCACTAATTCTCAGTTGTTGCTTAAATAGCATGCCGGAAGGAATTGCACCTAACACCTTTGCATAATCACCAGGTGTTACAATATTAATGCAATAACAAGTTGTCCTCTACTGAATAATTGATTCATAAACCAGTAGAATGTTGTTTTGGAACCAATTTTCAAAGAAGATGGATTTATGTTTACACTATATGTGTCCTTATTATTCCATATGAAAAATGTATGACGTGAGAACCAGCTTGTAGATATGGGAGCATGGTAGAAAGGCCTGGTGATGAAAGGCAAATGACTTGCTTCAATATTGTGGCTGCATGTAGGGAAGAAATTTAAGCCATCAAGGTTTGATAGAATGTGCTGAGGAATGCTTCTGAACAATTTTTGATCTAAAGTGGTGTTTAGAGCAGAGAAATAGGTTGTGGAATAATCCCATCCTAAAAGGGGGTTGCACTCCTAGAAAGGTTAAGAACAACAGTTTTACAGTATCTCATTTCGTACTGATATTCTCTCAGCTCCACATCACGTCATTGGAGTGGTGGCAGTGCCGTGTTTGTTTACACATCAGGTTTTATGTTCATTTATGATGCAGCCCTCTGTTGGATATTTTAATTAGTCGCAGTCGGAAAGTAAACAAAATGGCATGAAAACAAAAAGGGTCTATAAAAGCACTGCACTTTTATAATAATTAACATTTTTATAGGATTGTTGGGTATTTGTGTCCGTATGTTCTCATGTTTAAGTCCCTGTACTTGGTCTGGGAAAAAGCATTAGGACCTCAGGGCATGATGGGAAACGCCTGGCTCTCACCTGATCTGAGAGTTGATTGGTCTAAATGTTGGATCAGCAACATCATGTTTATAAACACTTCTACTTTTTATTTTGAGTGATTTTGATTTTAGTATTTGGCTTTGGTATTATGATGCTTTGTTTTAAAGAATGCTGTATATTGGATATGTGTGGTTGATAGCGAGTGGCAGTGAGACTGAACACAAAAACCTTTGGTAAGCAGGATGGGCCTGATATTTTATTAAATCAAGGCCAGGTCAACAGGGTGAGTGTTTCTGTGACTTCTTTTACAGACTGTGAAGGCTGCTGGACACCGTTTGTCTCCAGTGCAGCTTTGTTGCACTGCTCCCTGCTGGACACTGTCTGGTCTCAGAAAATATCCCTGCACTGCCTCCAACCTGTTCAATGAGTCTGGGTTACAGAGGCCTTTGGTAGCACCTCTCCACATTAGATAGGTTTTGGAGCAAATTTATTAATATTATGTTTAATCTGTCTGCATGTGTGTTTTCAGGTACCGATGAGGAGGATCAGGGAGATGACATGCTGCTGCAGCACAAGATGGACTTCTGGTGGTTTCCTCACATGTGGAGCCACATGCAGCCTCACCTCTTTCACAACGTCAGCGTCTTGGCTGAGCAGATGAGACTCAACAAGATCTTTGCTCAGGTTAGCAGCAGACGTGGCCAGCATCACAGTGTGTGCAGGCTACATGAACAGCGGAAGGACTATGTTCCTGTGTGGCTACGTGGTCCGTTAAGAGTATGTGGCAAGAGAATCTGTGAGTGTGGTTATTAAAATGGTCACACAGTGCTTACGCTGCATTGCCAGTGTAAGCACTGTACATGAATAGCTTAAACTTTAAGGAGTATAGAAACAGTATTGGTGAAGTGAATGTCTATAGAGATGTCACTCCTTTCTCTTGACAGTGCTTTGCCTTTACCCCTGTGACCTTTCATCACCTTCTTGTCCTCTCACCAGGAGCATGGCATTCCAACAGATATGGGCTATGCAGTAGCTCCGCACCACTCTGGGGTGTACCCAGTTCACACCCAGCTCTATGAGGCCTGGAAGGCCGTATGGGGGATCAAGGTGACCAGCACAGAGGAATACCCCCATCTGAGACCAGCTCGATACCGCCGTGGCTTTATCCACAATGGAATCCAGGTCAGTTCACGGTGCTTGTTCAGTGCTTGGCATTGCAATTGTTTTCCCAAGGATACCTTCTTCGACACAGTGACGCACTTTTCAGTCAGACATAAAGATAGGAATGGAAGTGATAATGACACCTAGCGGGCTGTGCTGCTGAGCTCTCCTTTTCTGTGTAGCAGTGTGAAGACAGTTAAGCAGAAACGAGTTCTGTGAAGACTGTGTGCACAGCAGGGTTTGTGGACCAACCTGACAAACTGTGACATTTTTTCTGAAAGTAGCCCTGGACGTCCTTGGGCTAATGGAGGAGGCCTGACAACAAAGACCCCTCCATTTACTTTTACTCTGCTGGTCTCTCTGTTAAGCCTCAGCACAAAACAGTTTATTGTAAATGGTAACAAAGCTGAGTTCAGTGGCAACAGTATGCCACATAGACATCAGTATAACATAGCATGTAATACAAAGAATTCCTAGTACTTATGTAGACAGAGAAATGTGGATATTCAGGAGCACAGTGCATAGATGCACAGGTTCACTGTCTTAGGTCAGGAGGTTTTGTTGGGCAAAGACCTGCAGCACCTCCCATAGGTCAGAAGTGAAACAGGTAGCAAGTAGGACCAGACAGGATGTTACCATTGTAGAGGTAAACTAAAGTTTAACAGGACCAGGACTGCCACTGATTCTCCAGCTTCCTGCCTCACCCTCAGACTAAGGCCTGATCTAAGAAGGTAGTGACGACACCTAAAATCTCACCATTTTGTAAAAGTAGATACCCAGAGAAACGCACGCAATTGTATAAATGTAACCCCAAAAAGCTGATCTGCTTGTGTGTTTTAGGTGTTGCCCAGACAGACGTGTGGTCTGTTCACCCATACAATCTTCTATAATGAATACCCCGGAGGCTCAAAGGAGCTGGACAAGAGCATCAGAGGAGGGGAGCTCTTCCTCACGGTCCTCCTAAACCCTGTAAGAAAACCAGCCCCATGCACAAGAGCGCACATCAGGGCACAAATGCACTGAATTGATCTATATGATTGCAATATCTGTTATTATTTGAACTGGATTGTTTTTAAGCGTAATGAATAAGACTTAAGTAGCATATATAAGCACTTTATAAACACTGAATGCAGTTGTAACAGATAACCATGAGCATGATGTATAAACATGCATATAACACACCCTTCAGGAAATCAAAGCATACTGGTAATGTTGTTGATTTCAGATCGGCAGCAACGGATGAACCGAGCAGGGATGTTCTCTGCTCGTCCTCCATGTTTACGACATGATCCTGACTCGAAGTTGATGTGCATAGTCTACAGCATGTTAATGATTATGGTCGCAGATACTGTTTCTTGCAAGCAACATTAGAATTTTAATCCCTGGCAGAGTGTCACAGAAAAAAACACTATCAGAACTTCACACACATGCAGCCTACTGCCTACTGCTACTGCTTGCATCATTTCCATGACCATGCTGTTCATACTGTTCATATAGTGCCTCTTATCCTTGCACCTGTGCACTGCCCTGGTGTGATAGCTATCACATGGACATCTCACACCCACTGCCTATTTCATCATTCACCTCTGCACTATTTGCACTACCACTTTTTGTCTGTCTTGACAGTATCTTTATTGCATATCCTACCGGTAGCATGTATAAATAGGTTTCCCTGCAGTACTATCCCAAGTCTCATGCTAAGCACCATGTCTTAGGATACACAAATGACAGAGTTGAGCATGATTTAAGGACAGTTTTAACCGTTTCCTTCCCCTTCACTATATCATAAATAAATAATATTCAGGCTTTGCTATTTCTGGGCCACTAACAATCAATGATATCTGAAATTATCGATTGGCCCAGGTTTGTAAGACATGACATATATGGTACTACATGAATTTTGCTTCAAAATAACCAAAATAGCAATTGTACCTAAAACTCTTGGTGGGTCTGATGACAGAACTAATTGCTTTTCATACAGCAAGCTTCTTAGGTGAAGCCTTAGGCTGTTTAACAGTTTTTGCATAGACATTCTATAAGTTAGAAATTATGCCCAGTCAGCTCTTTTAAATGTTGTATTTAATTTCAGTTCCTCAAAATTCATAAAAATAAATTAAAAACATTTGAATTTGGAAGCAGAAAACCTTTTTTAAAAGTGATAAACCAGTGTTATCTGTTTATTCACCAGCTTCCACTTCTGAATGTCCACAGGAGTCATGGTTTACTGTATAATCTGCTTAAAACTGTAAACATTTGCTTAAAAACTCTTATTGTTTATATCATGCTTACAAATGCTCCATGGGGGACCTGGAGTAAAGTGCTAAACATGTTTCGTCTTATTGTTCTGTGTGTCAGTATATTTTTGTATGTGAATTAAACGGATCATTATTGTGTGAAATGTTTGATCAGAGCTTGATGGCGTGTCAGCTGTCGCTAACATGTTGACCTGAAAAGCAATACTACCGTCTGTGCTGCTGTACAACTGTTGGTCATTACAGTAACTAGTCTAATTTTGACTCAGCCAGCAGAGCTCCAGCTAGGTTTTACCTAATACTGTCAAATCCATTGTGCCTTCTCAATCCAGATCAGTATCTTCATGACCCACCTGTCTAACTATGGCAATGACCGGCTGGGTCTGTACACCTTCGAGTCCCTGGTGAAGTTTGTCCAGTGTTGGACCAACCTCAGGCTGCAGACGTTGCCCCCCGTCCAGCTCGCTGAGAAGTACTTCCAGATCTTCCCTGAGGAGAAAGACCCACTCTGGCAGGTCTGTATATTGATTTTTGTTGACAGTTGTCTCAAAATAAATCTTTCCTAATGTCCAAATAAAAACCACAGCTCACAAGAAATGACTTTTTAATAATTCCATGTCATCTTCAACTGACTTGTCTGAAAGGTTTTCTTCACGCTTGCTCATTGGCATATTAACATCCACATGGCTCATTGAGGAGCAGATTTTAAATGCTGAAATTAGTGTTGAGTGTATTTGCTTTGTGATGTCCTCAAAATGAAACAACCTTGTTTTCAGAACCCTTGTCATGACAAGAGACACAAAGATATCTGGTCTAAAGAAAAGACCTGTGACCGACTCCCCAAGTTCCTCATCATTGGCCCACAGAAAACAGGTGCCATACTCCCCCCGTCTAGTTACATTGTCATCTTTGTCTTACATGTCTCTCTTCATTCTGCTGACTATTTTGTCTTTTTTTCAAAGGCACTACAGCGCTTCATTCATTCCTGAGCCTCCACCCAGCAATCACCAGCTCCTTTCCCAGCCCCATCACCTTCGAGGAGATCCAGTTCTTCAGTGGAGCAAACTATGACAATGGGATTGACTGGTAAAGAATGGACCACCACACACAGTATAGTACACAGCCTTTAGAAAGTCTTCAGTACTCAGCCACATTCTGAACATAGCATGGCTTAAATTGGATATGATAGGTTCAGATTTTTCAGGTCTATCTAAATACAGTACAATACTCAGATGACAGGTAAACTGATCATCCTCTCCATACTGGCTGGGAAGTGATCTTTCTAACATAGCAACACCATCATCAGTGGAGGGCAAAATCCATAGTCTAAAGCTAACAGCTGTGCAGGTATGCAGTTCCCTGTTTGTGTGTCTACAGGCAGGGTTTCCGTGCTGAGCCGTGGTGGAGGAATGTCACATGCAGGACGCTACACCAGGAATAAACCTGCATGTGACAGCCAGGATAAAAACTAGAAAAACAAAACAAAACAATAATCTCATGGGGTCAGAGTATTGAAGTCCTGGAGCGACCAGTGAGAGTCCAGCACTGCAGTCCAATCCAGAGTCTGTGTTAAACTACTGTCCACTTGTGTTTCCACTAAGCAGTTTTGTAAAGAACAGACTAATTGCTGCCAAAGGTTTCTCTGCAACATGCTGACTAGGCCATGAACACTTACTGTACACAATCATGTACAGTATTTATACTTTATCACTTTGTAGAGCTCTGTTTTTTAAAGTCCCCATGGCTGCTCATTTGGCTCATTTCCAGCCATTTAATGTTTAATCCTGGGTACCTCTAGATTATCTTTGCACCCCTCATAGCTCCAAACAGTTTGTAATTATTTCAGAACAATAAAACCAGAGAGCCTCTTCCTAAAAACAAGAGGACAGTTCATGAACATGCATACCTCCTGCTGCCGGTGTTGTGTCGCAAGTGGACAGCACAACAAACCACGACCACATTAATTAATTAGAATTCCTCCTCCATAGACAGATAAACAACGGTATATGTACTAATGTAACACACTAAACAAAGCAGGTAATTGAGAAACCCCATATTTTAACTGTCATAATGCAGACATAGTAACTTCTCCAGCCTTACAACAATTCTCTCTAATGTTACAGAAACAAGGCATTAACAGACATGCAACTGTTGTTTTAAACTTACCGTTAAGTCCCACTGAGTAGTGGAAACATCACTCCCTGTCAAGTATTTTGGAGGCACAATTGGATGTCAGGCAAACTCACATGAACGTGCAACGGCCTGGATTTTATGTCCATTAAAGAAAATCCTTAAACTATCACGTAATGTTTTATTTTGGTAGAAAAAAGGTCTTGCGAGCGAGAGTTTTCAAGATGTGTATAAACTGAGTTGCTTCTGCACAGAAATACCAGAACATATGTTCACCTCATGTCTTGAGCTTTAGGTCTAAGATGATAATTCACCGTTGAAACATTGTAGATAAGTCAAAAAACAAGGAAAAGCGTCATGGACCCTTTAACATCGAAAAGTCTTTTCTGCCCGGTGTCACAAATTACTGCACTTTAAATGGCAACACAATTAAAAATAAAATGGTTTAGGCATGTGAAGACATTTTGCAGGTACCCATTAAACAGAACATATTTTCTTTGTGCGCCTCCTCAGGTACATGGACTTCTTCCCATTCCCTTCCAATGTCAGCACAGATTTCATGTTTGAAAAGAGTGCCAACTACTTTGACACAGAGGTGGCTCCTAAGAGAGCTGCTGCTCTGCTGCCCAGAGCCAAAGTCTTAGCAGTGCTCATCAACCCATCTGACAGGGCGTATTCCTGGTACCAGGTGAGAGTCGCACATCCACTGCACTGCCCAAACTGTACACATGTCCAGTGCCTTACTGTTAAACTTGATGGGTGTGTATTGATGACCGCAGCACCAGAGGGCCCACCAGGACCCCGCAGCAATCAACAACACTTTCCATGCAGTGGTGACAGCAGGCCCCTCATCCCCCAGGGACCTGCTGGCCCTTCAGAGACGCTGCCTTAATCCTGGGGCCTATGCTACTCACCTGGAGCGCTGGCTGCAACACTACCAGCCCAGCCAGGTAAGACACACTGCAGCAGGTGGGCACTGGTGTCCCTTCGGGCACTTCTCCACAATGTGTCAAACCAGTTACCTATGAATGAGCCACTGATAACAACAGCAGCTTTAAAGAACTAAAACATGTCAAGTCCAGCTAACTCCGTGAAGTACACATCCTCTGTCTTAATGCACTGCAATACTGTCTCTATTCTCTAACATGAAATTTACTATTTTAACACAAATGGATATAAAAAGCAGATTATGATTAGTTTGGTCCCGGCAGTTTTAAAATGAGAGGATACTCCATCTACTTACTATCAACTTTCTTAGTCAAAAGCAGCAGCAGTTGCTTCAGTCATACAATAATAATCCACTGTCCAGATTTGAGCCATGGGTGAAACAGAATCTTTATGTGTGTGTTTTAGTTGCACATTGTGAACGGGGCCCTACTGCGGACCAACCCAGCACTGGTGATGGAGGGAATCCAGAGATTCCTCAGTATCAGTCCCATCTTCAACTACACCCAGGCTCTCATGTTGGTAACACACAAACACACACTCTAGATGTGTGACAGGTCTTGACTGTGCTCTGACGTAATATTGTGTCTGCAGGTACGACGACAGCAAAGGTTTCTGGTGTCAGCGGGTGGACGGGGGTCGAGCCAAATGTTTGGGGAAGAGTAAAGGCAGAAAGTACCCAGAGATGAGTCCTGAGGTACATGCACACCTCTGCTTCTCTTTATGGATTTTTCACCACGTCTATCAGTAATAATAAATTAATAAGTTCTGTTTTTGTATATACTGTACTTTCCGGACTATAAGCCTCTACTTTTGTCACTTTATGCACACACCCTCATCATGGACAACACACGACGAAATGCATGTGATGCCGCTTCAAGTTACAGGCGATCGATCTGGCTGTCGAAATATCTCGTTACAACGTGGACACCTGTGGCTATGTATAACATGTTTGTTCATCTTACATTTAGTGGCTGCGGCTTATAGTCCAGAAATTACGGTAATTAGTGACACAATGAAATTTTTAAAAAAAGATCTAATCTTGGCCTGTTTTAAAGCACACTACAGGGCCACTTTAGGAAGCACCATTTGCAATTATGTATTAATCTGCTACTGAAAATTGTCCCCTGCAAATCCAGTTTTCTCCTTTTTGAGTAAAAGTTTGTGGCCAGCTGTTTTAGGAGATGTTTTTTCATGTAACTATATATTTGTGAGGGGTTGTGAAACATTTACATACAGGGCATGCAGCCATAGGAAATGATGGGTTTGGAATAGGCGAGAAAAGTCAGAGTAGGACTAACAGATTTTTTTTTTTAATGGGATGTTGACAGTAGAAAAAAGTGTTGAAGAACACCAAAGTTGTCCTCCAGACCCTCCGCAGCCATTGAGCAAACAAGACAGACCGGTAGTGTGAGGAGAGTTCTTTTATTTGAGAAGAGAAGACTAATAAAAGAATATTTCACAGGGTGAAATTTATTATGCATTAATGTATCAAAATAAGCATGTGCACATGGATCTTCACTGTTTAGGATAAACAGAAAAGACTCTACTCTCAACCTATCGGTATACAATATTTGTATGAAAAGGTGCTACTATCTAATGGGTCAAAATCTGTGGGGGAGGAGCCATGGTTTAGACTTAACTCTCTTGTTATTGGTCCTTCAGTCTGTCTGTCCTCTGATCATCCTCTCTGCTCCAATGGGTGTGAACAGCGCCCTAAAAAGGGAGGAATACCTATGCTGTCTTAATTTCTACATAGACACTTTTGTCTTCCTTTGTTTCCAACTAACTGCTCCATTGGACCCATTTCACGGTGGGGACCTAAATTGAGGTCCCCATGGGCAAGAAATTGAATTTTAGGGTGGCAACATGGTTTAGGGTTAGGATGAGGTTAGGGTTAGGTTAAGGTTAGGGTCAGGGTTAGGGTTAGGCAAGTAGTGGTTCTGGTTAAGGTTAGGGTTAGTCTACAGGAAATGAATGTAAGTCAATGTAAAGTCCCCATGGACTACGAAACATAAACTTTGTGTGTGTAATGGTTTTACCTTTGCATCAACAACACTTGAGAAACTCCATTTTTAAATTCAACTTCCTTTGTTAACAGAAGTATTACATTGCACTTTCAACATCTGTATGCTGTATAAGAATTTTTCCCTCCTCCTGACCTCTGACCTCTCCTTATGTCTGTGTATGTGTGTGTGTGCGCATGTAGTCACGTGCCTTTTTGGCTGAGTACTACCGTGAGCACAACATGGAGCTACTGCATCTACTGAATCGTTTGGGCCAACCCCTGCCATCCTGGCTCCGCCAAGAACTCCAGAGCACCAGCTGGAGCTGAGGCTACTCGCTTACAGACAGGCCAAGGAAAAGCCTGGACTGGAGTCTGTGGATGCACCAGCCTTGCTCTGGATTAGACAGGATCACCAAATCTGGAATAAACAGCAGCACGCACACACTAAAAGAGCTACAAGGATTGAGCTGATGTTACTGGTGCTCCTGTCCTGTGGCAAAAAGAAGACGGCTCACGATCTTTCTGGTGTTGGTCCCCTGTTGGAGGAGGATCCCAGTGGCCTCTGTCTCCAATTACTGATTTGTGGCCAACTTCCCTCGACCACTTGGCAGCCCTCAGCCTTAGTTGGTGCATGTTGGACGGGGGAGGGGCGCTGATACCGTACACGTTTGCTGTGGATCCAGATGACTGGAAGTTTGAGGCATAAAGAACGTGTCAAACTGCCTTAAAGCGAGAAGAGAAACTCAAAGGATGAGAACGTGCCGATGTGTATGACTGGGTACAGGACTAACATGCACAAATCCACGTCCTATCTTTCCACCACAATGATTGTAAAGCAATTCAGTTTCGAAAGCAGTTGTATATCGGGGGTTGGGGTGGGGTAGGTGGGAAGTATATGGCCAGCAGCAGACAGTAAAGACACACAGTCTGTGTCCTGGTCCACAGTTCCAGCACACACACACACACACACACACACACATACCTGGCCCAGCAGTGAGGGTGCTGCGTTTCCTTTTAGCCTCCCAGTTTTCCAGTCTGTTTACTGTGGTGGCAGACATTTTAACTTGGATTTAGATGACAGGTCAATGTAAATACTATGAATCAGAGCACAACTCAAGCCCAGGTTTGGTCCAGGCTGTGCCTCACACTAGTGTCCTGTCAGGGAATGAGCATCTTATTCCACCTGTCTAAGGTAAAGATGGTTTTTGAATGAAAAGGCACTGTTCTTCATGGGAGCTGTGGTCTTGCTCCATCCTCCAGATTTGATTTAACATTACTGACATTCTTGCTTCTAACAAACAGATTTAAAAAATACCCCATCCATGTGGCAAATGGAGTGAACCACACAACATAACGTGACTCCATGGCTCTGGCTTGAGGCCTCTGCCTTAACAATAGCTGCTGAGACTAATCAGTGCTCTAGTAGAGTCATTATATATGAAATGAATAGTGCCAAAAGTTAAAAGCAACTGTTTCCCTTGGTCCTGATATGATGTGACCACGAGGCATAGCCCTGGACCAGAACTGTTAAACTCTTAGGGGCTTGTTCTTCTGTGACAGGAAAACCGTCACATCCAGTATCTTCTGAAAAACCAACATACATGACCCCACACACACACACACACACACACACACACACACACACACACACACTCGTCTCCATCCGAGGACAGTAACCCACCAGTGTTGCAGAAGAAGAGAACGGACATCTGGGCCAGTATGGAGACGAATCAGAAGCTGCTGTCTTTGTGTTTTTTCTGTTTGTTTTGTATAAATGTCAAAAAGGCCCACACTGTATCATCTCTAATAAACACATAGAGAGGTTGGAAATGATGGCTGCGGTGGCTGTTTTGTTGTGTTTTGACCTCACTCCCCCTCAGGTTATGTACGGTATGTTAACGTAGGAATATTCAACCACAAGGCAAGGCGGTGTTATTTTTATGGTACATGTCGTACATAAGCAGTTCAAAGTGTTTTACACAGAATTAATAAAATGCATTAAAGCAATGAAATATATTGCAAAACAAATAAATGGATATAGGACCAAAGCCACGGATTGATATAACAGTAAGTAAAAGCATTTTAAAAATAATCCTACATTTAAGCATCCTAGCTGCAGTAAAATACACATGAACTTTTCTTTGGTAGGTCGGTATAGAGTCAGTGATCTAATAAAAATAAACTTTCCCAAGTCATGTCTAGACACTAAATCTCTGATTCTGCTAATGTTTTCCAAATGATAAAAGGCTGATTTCACAACTGACTTAACTGTTAAAACTTTTCACATATCAATTTCCTTCCACTTCACAATTATGCGATACTTTGTGTTGGTCTGTCACATAAAATACATTTAAGTTTGTGGTTGTAATGTGACAAAATGTGGAAAAATTCAAGGAGTATGAATACTTTTGCAAGGCACTGTAATTTATTGTAATGAACTGTTTGAACCAAAGGCAATGTATAGAATAGAACAGCTTTATCACTGTACATTGTACAATGAAATTTAAGATGCAGTCCTTCTGTGTAATAGTTTTAAAAACCTAAAAGACTGTATAAATAAATAAATATAAATACTGATTGTCTAAAAACATCCTAATACACACACACACACACACCAACACAGTTTCACATTCTGTGGGACTGTTGCATGATTCCAATATATCACCACGTCACAGTGGATATGTTGTGGAAAGTATCAGGTATCTAGTGTGACTGTGGCTCTGGGGTAAAAGCTGTTTTAAAGTCTACCTGTCCATGTTTTCATTGCCCTGTATTGTCAGCCAGAAGGCAGCAGTTCAAAAAGACTTCCCAGGGTGGTAATGGTCTCTCAGAATGGTATAAGCTTTATTGAGGCAGCAGGTGCTATACAATTCTTCCAGGGAGGGGAGAGGGCAGCCAATAATCGTCTGCAGTGTTGATGACCCTCTGGAGCGCTTTCCTCTCTGCGGCTTTGCAGCTGGAGAACCACACACAGTAGCAGTACATTATGCCTTCTATGGAGCAGCCATAGGAGGTCACAAGCAGTTTTTGTCACGGGTGTTTTTTCCTGAGTATCCTCAGGAAGTACAGTCTCTGCTGTGCTTTCCTCACCAGTAATGTGGTGTTGACACTCCAGGTCAGGCCCTCCTCCAGGTGCACGCCCAAGAACCGTGAAACTGCCACCCTCTCTACACCCCAAACCCCCCACCCACCCCTGATGACCCACCCCCTGAATGTCTGTTTTGTTCTTTCTGAAGTCAATAATCAGCTCCTTAGTCTTAGTGATGTTAAGCACCAGGTGGTGTCATCTGCAAACTTGATGATGCTGTTGCTGGCATGGTGGTAATTACGGTATATAAATTAAAAAGAAAAGGTCCTATAATTGACCCCTGTGTCACACCAAAGGATAATTATATTTTAGAATGCTGAACGATTTCCTAGAACAACTAACGTAAGATTTAACCCGATTTAGGGCAGCACATGAAATCACTACCCTTCCATGGTCCACTGTGTCAGAGGCAGCACAAGACCAAGTAAATGTAAAACTAAAACTAAACCTGACTGAAAATCATCTGAGAAATATTTATTTTTACATATACTAAGTTGATTAAAAACAGCTTTTTCAAGCTTTACAAAGAATGATTAGTTATCAGTCTATAATTAGAGGATAGAAGCATCAAGGCACCTTTTTTGAGACAAGGCTTGATGATGGTAGTCTTTAATTCACTAGAAAACTGGCCAGTTAGAAGAGACGTGTATGGAGAACATTGCTAGCCAAACAGTTAAAAACTATTTAAAGAAGCCTGTGGGTATCAACTTCACAATAGACAGCCTCATCAAATCCACATGCAAGGAGAGGACACACTATCTCCTGTCTGGTGGCTTGTGTACATACACTAAGGTGTTCTGGTCTGCTACAGACCACTGAACAGGGAAAACCACAGTGAAGGTTACAGAGGCCATGTGCTGAGGCTAGTTCACAGTTCACTGATTATTAGAAAGGGAAGAAACATTGAGTGCTCTGCAGCCTCATGATGCAAAGTGATGTTCTCAACAGGCGTTACAAGTGTTCACCCTCAAACACACAAAATGATGCCCACAAGAAGTGAAATCATTGGTTGTGGTGTTCATCTAATATGTCCTCATCTCCAGGTTTATGCTGCTGCTGCCTTCCTAACAGGTGTTCAGGTTGACGTGTAAAACTGACATGACAACAACTAAACAATGTACAGTCTGCAGCCTGCTATGTGTGGGTGTGTAAGATTGTGAGGGTATTACAAGCTGGTTCTTTGAGCTTGTTTGCATCCGACTGGGAGCAGAATGATGGTCTGTCTATGATACACTGTGGGCCAGTTGATTTGTTGCATCAAGCTGTTGCAGCAGAGCCTGTAGAACACAGGAATCTGAAACAGCAGGTGATCACACAGAACAAAGAGACTTGTGGAGAAAAAATTGACAGAAACAGTAAGTGCTTCAAAACAGCTCCACATATGTAGCTCACTGCAAACACACAGAAATACACTCTAATACTCTGAGCACACATGAATTGCAAGCAAATAACATTGTACAGAAACACAGCCACAGAGCTGCTCTAAGAAAATCTTAGCCTTAATCTGTACACAGCTGTAAGCCGTCCCCCACCCAACATGCACATACTTACAGAGAACAATACGATTTCTTCATATACCACAGTCTAAGCTCTACTGGTGTCAGAGGGGTCATGAATAATATTTCACATAGAATTCACAGTCACACATGTTAACATTAAATATTTACTCATGAGAAATTGCAAATCATGTTTTAATTAACATTTTGGGAAAAAAAAGAGCGTGTGTGCTCGTTCCTCTACCCCACGTTATTATGTTAATATGTAGCAAGTAGAAGAACACGTACAGATAGAGACACACACACACACACACACACACTTAGAGTCCATACATGATGGTGTCCAGCAGAGAGTTATATCTCTGGATCTCTTGTAGCAGAACCACATTAAGTGGTGAAGAGTTGTCCTGGAGGAGGGATGAGGTACCCTCGTAATCAATCAGTGCTGGGATCTGTAAGCACAGATAAAATGTTTGTTTGTTTATATGGGACAATGCACATTATTCAAGATGGATAGATGAATAGCATTGTCAAGTAACTTTTAAAACTGAAGTTTCTCTAAGCTCAGAGACTTTCAAAACCAAGTTTCTCTAAGATCAGAAACCTGTATATGAATCTAAAACATTCAAATAAAAGATGATTAATAATGTGTTAAAATGGCACCTGAGTGGGATCAGCATGTGAGAGCTGTCTTGATATAATTTCAGTTTTGTGGTATGTAAAGAAGTGGCCTGACATTTGTCTTGGACTAACAGAAGAGGATGAAATCTTAATAGCAACAGAAATATTGAGTTCTGGAGGTCCCCCTTGAGACCGCTCCTAAACTGTTACAATGCTGCACTCTGAATAAAGAACTACATTACATATTCCTAGATCTCTAGCTACTTACACTACTGACTGTCTGCCAGTGTTGTGTAAACATATGGATGTCTCAGCATTGCTGGGAAAAGACATTGCTTGTTTTGAATATAGTCTGGTCAGCCTCAAACCTGAGAGGCTGTAAATGGAACTGACACTGCCAACATGTCAAATACATCTCTGTCACAAACTCTTCATGGTACATTATCAAGGTAGTTGCACACTTTTTAAAATCAAATGAGATTTTTAGGACTTAAAAAAAAACCATCTCCACAGAAGAACAAAGGCATATCATGTGTAACCATTTTTCATTCAAATAAAATGATAAAATATCAAACAAAGACATGATTGTGTAGCCCATATATGCATAATACATGGGATCATATATTATGCTGTATCTGCTTTAAAGCAAAAGTTTATTTACATGACAATTACTGGTGTGACCATAAAATCTATAGGTGTGACAACAGAATCATTTATAATCGAGAGAGAACAGCATGCACAGCCTATGGTTTATAATGCAACAGTTCTACAGAAAATCCTCCTTCATTATAGTTATAATGTTCAGTTTTTGTTGAAACTTTTCTAAAGAGATTTTACTCAATTTATAAAATCACTTTCTAGGCTGTGGTTTGTTTCTTGAAAAACAACTTTGATATAAACAGGGTGAAAAAGATTATAGAACCATTCATAATAATGCACCAAATGTAAGACTGTTGACAGATCTGTGGGAACCCTGATTATATGCAGTGGTTGAAAAGAAAGATAAGCATGTGAACAAGCTGTTGTACAAATTAACATTTGACTCACACTAGCCCCACCAAAACAAGGATGTGAGAAAATACACCTGCAGTTAAGATCAAGATGTTGAGTGTTTTTTCCCTAGGCTTGTCCCTGACCTCAGTGCTGACCGAGTACAGTATGTGCATAACTGAATGACAAGCTAGATTGACAAAGTGGAATATTATAATATATCGAGTGTTGTTAAAACTGTGTACTGTGTATATCTAGGGCAGTTAAATGTTTGTAAAACATTGGAGATTCATAAAAACCTCCAAATTGTTTTCATTTGTATGCAGATAATTTGGTTATATTTTCTCCATGTAGTGCAGACGTTACTTAGAGTTACTGATAACTTGATATTAAAGAAGACAGTTTTAAAGTTAAACTACCACAACTTCATGCTTAAATGAATCTCCGTACCCTACATACTTTATACTGTACAGCCCTGTGTATTGTTCAGCTATGGTGTAGATATACAGTAAATTGATAGTCACTTATATCATACATCTTAGATGTTATGCCAAGCTGTGTATTTTCACTCAATTAGTAACCCCAGGCCTCCCCTTCTCCTACTTTACCCGATCTTTTCTACTGGGTCTGGCACCTACAGTGGTGGGGCTGGTGACCTGGGGCTGCAAGGAGAGCAGGGTGTCAAACAGCGTCCTGGTCTCAGTGATCTGACTAGCAATGTCAGCATTGGGGTGCTGGCCAAACACCCCAGGGTGCTCTGTGGGTGGCAGCATGTTAATATAATCCTTGTATGAGGACTGGAGAGTCACGAGGGATGTAATACGAGGATAAAGAGGACAACCTGAGAAAGGATGTTGGCCAGAATACAAATTCAGTTATATATCATGGTTTTTATAAACAATGGTAAGGAAAGTAAAAAAGATCACATGCATGTTCTGGATGCACTTCATCTGTAACAATACTTATGCCTAGACAGACAGTCTCCCAACTTTAGACACAATAATATAAATAGCATTTTAAAAAACCTGCAAACCTGTGATGTTGTCAACATCTGCATCATAGCAACTTCATTTCATTTGTTTCATTACCACTGTTTTTTGGTACACAACATTAGAGCATATTATAGCTGTTGTTCTCTCAAATGTATTTGCTACCAATTCAATGACCCAGTTTTCCAGTAAAGATTATTTTCATCTCATCTACTGTAATTAAATGTTATAGCACAAGTGCATAAATACAAAACCCTTGGAATATAAATAACAAAAATATCCCCAAGTTATGATATATTGATGATATTAAAATGAATGGTCTGCATGAAGGGGTAGTGTTTTCATTGTACTGAAGGACACTTACTGATACTATCATGTGCAGCCTCTTGTGTTGTCTGGTCTGTGTTAATATGAGCTGCAGCACAGATTTTTTTAAATGATTGGTTGGAAATTAAACTGAATGGACACAGGATTTGTGCAAGTATTCATGTCAGTCTTCATCAAGGCCAAATGTGTCTGTTTCTTAGGTTGTAATAATCTGACTGTCCACGTGGTGGTGCTGCCAACCTTCTAGAAGCTTACACCTTGAACTCATTGCAACTAAAATTCATCTTGCCAGACAACTGCAACATGACTTTGTTTATTGAAACTTAATAAATTATTAGCAGTGTGCATTTGAGTTTATAGCACTTAGACTGGTAAATACAGTGTTCTACGACAATAAGATATGGCAGAATATATATGTGTGTTTAATGTCTCAGTTGAAGACATTACTCTGGTCTTTGTGTTTTTGTTCTGTTCTTTCCAGTAACTGTCACTGATGAGGCCCTGACCCCAAAATCAGAATCACTGAAGCCACAGACAATGTTCCAGCCTAGCTGTAGAAACATCTTCCGTTTCAGCAGAATGCTGTGATAAAAGCAGAGGGACAAGAGCAGCTTCCTGAAGAGCAGCAGTTAAACAGACCTTCTGTCACCAGCTGGTATAGACGTTTCATGTTGGATTTCACACCCTGAAGACAACAGAGGGCAGTGTTGTCACTATGAGGATGTTGCCTCTAGGATGTACACTATATTGTGGTGTAAAATACTGTACTAAATCTTGAAATCCGTGTGTGTGTGAGCACATGCACCTTTGGTGGTTTAGTGGTCATCTTGATGCCAGCCTGCAGGATGGTAATGGGAAATTCTGGGTGTGGCGATGAACTGTACCAAAGTCAAAATTTTGGGTGGGGCTCCTGCACCTGTAGCTGTTCCACCAACTTGTCCAGGTCAGGCATCCAGGACAGAGAGAGGTGGCAGTTGGCAAGGAACACCCAGTGACCTGACAGAGAAAAAGAGGGGTGGAGATAAAAGGATATAACTAGATTCTTTTCTGTCATGTCTAGTTATATTGGTGTATCCAGGCATCTTGTGATGGCCCAAAGGACAAAAATAACAGTGGTAAGCAGCAGAATAAATCTGAGACAGAAGAGCAGGAAGAAGGACAGAGCATTCGGTGATGTACCACTTTTGACACCTTCTTCGGTCATGCTCTTGGCAATGGGGGCCTGTCCCTGGTCCAGAGAGAGAGCATGGAAGTGCTTGCTCATACCAGAGGCCTCAGCCAGATGCAGCAGGGCTCCAGTGGGGGCAGTACAAAGATCAGAGGAGTCCTGCTGGTGGATTCCTCCACAACCTGCGGAGAGGACAGAGACAGTGGCGTCAACAAGGAAAAAGAAAGCAAGTGAGAGTGGATGAGTCAACACAGCAGAACTCACTTGATAGCACTTGACAACACTGTGACTGGATTTCTGAGTTTTCAAGTGAGCTACAATCAAACATAATTACATAAATGAGATGTATGAAATACTTGTTTCATTCAAATTCAGAGCGTCAAAACTAATACTCAAGACACAACAATTAATTAGATTAGAGATGACACTCACAGCCTTCATGTTGAGAACAGGTGGCTCCACAAAGCGAGACCCAAGGTTGTTAACAATGAAGGAGGTGACACAGAAGGAGACATGGTCCTGACGCAGAGAGTGTACTATCAGCATCTTCTGGAGCTCATTACAGTTATTCTCCCAAACACCTAATAAAAACACAGAGAGGGAGGGAACACATGGGTGTGGATTAAAGGAACTGAGCAAAAAAAAAGACATGAAGAGAGTAGTGAACAAAGGATAAAATGAAGAAAAAGGCAGTAATATATTTAGAATCCGGTATACTGCCACAGTCCTTAGCACACACAAACTCTCCTGCATGGTTCAGCCAACATTACACTGGGCTGATACACACGCACACAGCAGGATACTGTATTCTTAATAAAATAGAGGAAGCATTTAAAGGTACTAGCGTCATACTTTAGCAAAAGGCTGAAACCTGTCAAAGCACAACAGCATGAACAAGTTGTCTTTCTCAAACACCAGTGTAGCCACCCTCTCGGCAGACTGTGCTTCATCTTGTTCAACTTGTTCCTGGTGGAAAGTGCTTTCTGCAGTAATAAAGTACTCAACACATACAGACCTGGTAGTGTGGCACACTCTGGCTCAGTGCTGGTGAACCAAAGGCTCCACTCTTGGGGGTCTTGTTCAAAAGAAGCCATGATGCTGCGGAAGCTGAGGAGCTTATCCAGCTCCGTGATTTTATCCCAGCTAGAGTCTGCCAGCCAGCTCGTACAGGGGTTGTCCATCTGATCTTTTTTATCAAGTACCTAAAAACACACCCATCCATTAATCAGAAACTATCCTTCCATCAGTGGGTGTTTCTCAAGTCTCTTATATGATCGATCCCATGTCCTCAGTCAACTTGGGAGTCTTTTCGGTCTGAGGACATTCCAGGTCTATTACATTGGCTCAAAGGAGCCGGAACCTTGAGGGAGGATACATGGGACCATCCTTTGGGGAAGTTTTTTATGAACCACTTTATCAGAAATCAGTTGGTGATGGAAGACTGGAGGACAGGACATCTCATGTTATTCAGATTCATTCATTCATTTTCTAGCGCCTAATCCCTGAACGGGGTCACAGGAGGGGCCGGAGCCGGCGTACACCCTGGACAGGTCACCAATCCATCACAGGGCTAACACATAGACAAACAACCACACACACTCCTATGGGCAATTTTAGAGACCTAAGCTGCATGTCTTTGGACATGTAGCTTAGGTTGATTGGTGTTGATAGGTTGATGTGGGAGGAAGCTGGAGTACCCGGAGAGAGAGAACCCACGCAAGCACAGGGAGAACATGCAGACTCCACACAGAGACGTCCCAGGTGGGGCCCGAACCCGGAACCTTCTCGCTGTGAGGCAACGGTGCTAACCACTGCACCACCGTGCTGCCCACATCTCACGTTATATAAAGTAATGTCAGAAATTCTAAGTCATTGCACATTTTGTCATATTCAGCTAAAGTTTCCTTGTATTTCTCTGCCTGGCCTTTCAGTTTGTGGGCTCCACAAACCCCAGGTGGGTGTGTGCTGTGCTTACCAGTGAAAAAAAGATCAGCGTCAACCCGGCAAATGTCAGCCATTCAGCACAAGGTGGCAATCTTGCTCATGCATGGCATAGTGTGTGTGCATTAGAGAGGGGGTTCGGTTTGGTTCGGAAAATTCACAACATTGCTGCAGCCAAAAGGGGGAGATGGCTGAAAAAGCATGAGGTCCACTGCTTCTGCTAACAGGCTAAACAACTAAACAACCAGGATGAGAAAGGAATCCATACACTGTGCAAACAAGCATGATTTATGAAAAGGGCCTCTCCTGATACAGCCTTGTTCACCTGTACATGGCATATGTGTGGTAGTCATTGAGTTTGGTAATCCTTTCCTCCAGCTTGTGGCTGCGCTTGCTGTTTTCTATGCTGAGGCTGAATAGATTAATGTAGGCCTCCAGTGAGAACTGATACATGGGGTCAATCCCATGTCGTTTAGGATGAAACTCAATGCACAAACTGCCATACTGTACCAATGCACAGGGACAATCACAGAAATTGCTTCTTATAGTTGACAGTATTTAAAGATTTAGGTTGATGAAAACACTGCCAGACTGCCTACTTAGAATGAACGAGAATGACAAAACACAAACACAGAGTCACATAAATCAGAAATTTAAAGTTTTAAATAAGTCGTAATTTCTTGAATCTTGAATATTTAGAAAAATCCTTTTTGGAAATTTTGGAACACCTGCATTCACTCAGCAGATGAAAATGTTAAACTCATTGTTCTTGGAATACAAATTACAGCTGGTTTGAGACATGGTGACTGGGAAAGCCATAGCATAACAGTCACATCATTTTCATATTTATCAAACCATTCAGTGACCTCTCGTGCCCTATGGATGGGGGCTCTGTCATCCTGGAAGTAAATAAAACACAAACACAGAGTCACTTAAATCAGAAATTAAAGTTTAAATGGCACATTTTTGAAATAAGTCGTAATTTCTTGAATCTTGAATATTTAGAAAACTGCTTTTTGGAAATTTTGCAACACCTGCATTCAATCAGTAGATGAAAGTGTTAAACTCACTCTTCTTGGAATACAAACTCCAATTTGGACCATGAGCCTTCTAAATGATGTGAGCTTCATTTCTGGACTATTTGTAAAACAACTTCTAGGTCGATTTCCTGACAAAAGAACACTGTCTGATTTAAAAGACTAAAAACATGGACTGTTGTAGCATAAAGATAAGATGTGATGATCAGCTGATTGTTCTCTTACTACATTTGCTGATGTCATTACTACCTGATTCTATGTGATAACTAATAGGGTTGTATTTACATGAATAGGTACAAATCTAGTTGTGGTAATCATATTTCCATTCTATGTGATATAATCTGATCACTGGGGAAAGGTACAGCTGGTGCTTAAACCAGCTGTCTTTGTGATGCTGGGAAGTTGTTAAGTTACAAAACAATTCAGGGCTCCTCATAAAGTTACTAGAACAGATTTAAGTGAGGGTAAGGCACTTCTCTATGAAGTACTTTTTGCTAAGGTACAAATATGT